TCCCCATCACTCACCTCCCTGTCAGCAGCCCCACGACCACCACCTGCCCCCCAGGGTGGAAATCAGCGCACAGCCCGGTGTCCTGTGTGTGCGGGGAGGGTGGGAAGGGGGGCACATTCACAAGGGGTTTAGGGCCCCCTGTGGCCCCCCCCAGGACCCCCCCCGGGACCCTCACCCCATACCTCCAGGGCCAGACTCCATGTCAGTGCGTGCTCCTGCCCGTCCCACAGGCAGAGCTGCCGGTCGTGGCCGCAGGTGAGGAACAGACAGCGTGTGGGGTGAGTGGCCAAACCCCACACCTCATCCGTGTGACCCTACAGACAGACACACCACGCTGTCACCCCACTGTCCCCATAGATTATACCCTCAGCACCCCCTCTCCCTCCCACCATCCCTGTGACCCTACAAGCAGACACACCACATTGTCACCCCCATGTCCCCAAAGGTTACACCCCCAGCATCCCCCTTACACCCACACCCCATCCCTGTGACCCCACAAGCAGACACACACTGTTGTCACCCCACTGACCCCATAGATTACACCCCGAACTTCCCCTAACCACGCATTTCTCATCCCTGCAACCCTACGGACAGACACACTGCGCTGTCACCCCACTGACCCCATAGATTACACCCTGAGCGCCCCCTCTCCCCCCACCCCCTCCCTGTGACCCTATAGACGGTCACCCCGTTGTCCCCCCAGCCCCACACCTGCACGATGGCACTGAAGCCCCCCCCCAGCGTCCCCCGCAGCAGGGCGTTGCGCGTCGTCCCCACCAGCAGTTCGTCCCCGGGTCCCTCGGCGATGGTCCGCACCGCCCCGAAGCGTTCGGGGATCTGTTTTGGATCACCCCCCCCCCGCATCCCCTTCCTTAAAATCCAACGGGGATTATTTCGGAGGGGCGGGAAGGGGGAGGGCGGGGGGGCGATGGGGGTCTTTACTTCGGCCTCCTGCAGGAGGGTCAGATCGGGGCTCCAGCTCAGCACCCGCCGGTCCTTCCCCCCGCCGCTCAGCACCGTTCCGTCGCGGCGCCGGCACAGAGCGAAGACGCTGCCCTCGTGTGCCCGCGTCTGCTGCCCGATCTGGTACGTCTCTGTGGGGATCCGGCCCCGGTCCCGTGTCCCCATGGCTGTCCCCGTGGCCGGCCCCAGCCCCGTGTCCCCAGCCCCGTGTCCCCATCCCCACGGCCATCCCGTCCCCGTGTCCCCGTGGCCAGCCCTATCCTCATGTCCCCATCCTCATGTCCCCATTGCCACCCCCCCAGCTGTCCCCATCCCCATATCCCCATCCCCATGTCCCCTTTTGCCATCCCCATAGCCATCCCCATCCCTATGTCCCCATCCTCGTGTCCCCTTTCCCTGTGTCCCCATCCCCTTTCCCATCCCCGCGCCCACCCCATCCCCCTGTCCCCATCTTCGTGTCCTCACTGCCACCCCCATCCCCACATCCCTGTCCTCGTGTCCCCACCCCCGTGTGCCCATGGCCACCCCATTCTCACGTCCTAACCCTCATGTTCCCATTGCCATCCCCATGGCCAACCCCATTCCCACGTCCCCGTCCCTATTTCCCCATCCTCACATCCCCATTGCCACCCCCACTGCCATCTTCATGTTCTCATGTCTGTCTTTGTGTCCCCATTCCCTTGTCCCCATCCTCGTGTCCTCATTACCACCCCCACTTTCCCAACCCCATGTCCCTGCGCCCCCATCCCCATGTCCCCATCCCCATATCTCTGTCCCCACATCCCCTCTCATCCCCACGTCCCCCTCCCCATCCCTGTCCCCACATCCCCATCCCCATCTCCTCATCCCCACACCCCCTCCCCTCCCCCCACATCCCCCCACCCCCCGCCCCCCTCATGACCCCCACCTTTGCCCCCCTTCCCCACTGCTCTCCCATCTCCTGCCCGCGTCCAGGTCAGGATGTTCCCCTCCGAGTCCCCCGTCAGCACATCCCCAGCGGCATCAAAAACGAAGCACTGGATGAACTTTGGCTTCTTATATTTCTAAAAAAAAAAGGGGGTGGGGGCGGTCAGCATCAGCACAGCCCCCTCAGACCCCTCTATGCCCCCTCCCATCCCAAGGGGGGGGTCTCACCCACCCCAAAGATTCCCTGCTTCTTGGTGAGCGTGGCCCCGCTCCACGTCCAGAAGTAGACGTGCGATTTGCCGCTGGTGATGATGCTGCTGCTGTCCTGGGGGTTGAACTCCACCGACAGCACCGACTCGTTGGTGCTCTGTGGGGTTGTGGGGGTGAGGAGGGTCGTCCCCCCTCCCCATACTCACGCCCTGTGTGCCCCCAACCCCCCCTCCATACTTTAACTTCAGCCAGCTTGGTGCCGCGGGCGCAGTCCCACACCGACATCATGTGCTCGTTGGAGTCGTCCACCACGCAGAGGTACGAGCCCTCGTCCTGGGGGGTGAGGGGGGGTGGATGGACAGGGGGATGAGGGATAGAAGGACGGAGGGACAGAGACACAGACAGAGGGAAGGACTCACGGCGCAGGAGAAGGCGAGGGAGCCCACGCCGCGCTCGAAGCTGCCCAACCCGATCTGCTGCAGCGTCAGCAGCGTGGCCGAGTCCCAGATGTGCACCACGGGCTGCAGGGGCTGCAAAGAGGGGGGGGAGGAGGGGGGGGGGGTCACCCCACGGCGCGGAGGGGGGGGGGGGTGAGGGTAGGGGGGTCCCCCCACATCCCCGTACTTTGCCATCCTTGTCGACGCCGGCCGCCTGCCCCGTGGCGACGCGGAGACGGTCGGGGTGCACAGCCAGGCTGCGGGGTTGGGGGTCGGTCAGGGTTTATTTTGGGGGGTGGGGCAGACATCATAGGGACCCCCCCCTCCCCACGCCCCCCAGATTTGATCCCACCAGCGGACGCAGTCGCTGTGGCGCAGGTAGTGGCGCTGGCGGCGCAGGGGGACGTGGAGGAGGACGACGACGCAGGCGATGAAGTAAACGAGCTCCCCAGAGGCCAAAACGTGGAGGTTGGAGCGGCTGTCACGGCCACGGTAACCGTAACTGGGGGGTTAAGGGGTGTAACGGGGGGAGGGACACCTGGGAGGGGGACAAAGGGGTGGGGGGGTGGCTGGAGCGGGGAAGGGATGGGATGGGGGAGGTGGGAAGGGGATGGGGGCAACAGGATGGGGATGGGGGCAACCAGGAGGGGATGAGGGCAACTGGGGGAGGACA